AGGTAGCCGCACTGATCCTGCCAACTACCGTCCAACAACACCACTTCCCGTACTATCCAAAGTGATGGGATCAATCATCGCAGATGCGCTGATGGAGTATCTGGAGAGCCACGACTTAATAGCCCTATAGCAACATGGATTTCGTCAAAAGCGTTCATGTGATATTACCCTATTAATTGTACTTAATAGCTGGACTGAAGCTGTTGATGATGGAGTAGGATTCGATGTCATCTACCTGGACTTTTCAAAAGCGCTTGATGACTTTGACCATCGCATTCTCCTTCTGAGGCTTTGGAACTACGGCATTGGCGACCCAATCCTGAGTTGGATTGGCAATTTTCTACAAGAACGACGTCTGGTTTTTTATAGTCCGGGAATCATTTTCTGATGTAATCGATGTGGCGTGTGGAGTACCACAATGCTCGGTTCTTGGGCCTCGTCTATTCTTGGTGTTCATTAACGGTTTCCTGTTTTTCACTGATGATATCAAGATTCGGCGAGAATCAGAGGACCGGAATCTACAAGCGGCTCCAGTGCGATCTTAACACAGTGTCGAACTGGTCAGTTCAAATCGCCCTACCATTCAACGTAGACAAATGTCGCGTTGTACAATTACGCCATAGACATAACTACACCTACATACTTGGGACAAACGGATTGCAGAATAGCTCCCAGGAACGTGACCTTGATGTGATCATACAGAGCGAACTCAACTGTTCAAGACAGGCTGAGGTAGCTGCGAACAGAGGCAACCAGCACGTCGGCATGCTGCGAAGAGCATGCGGGAGATAAGACCCATCAATCTTCCCAATGATGCACAATTCCTAAGTACGTCCGCATGTTGAGTACGCAATCCAAGCTTGGCAACCTTGGTTGAAGCGCGACCTAGAAGCAATAGAGGCACCACAGCAAAGAGCAACAAAGAATGTGAAGGTCCTGCAATATCACTATTACAACCGAAGGCTGAAGTTGCTTGGAATTTTCAGCGGACGTTATCGAAGGCTGCGCGCTGATCTCATAAGAACGTATCATAGATTGAGTGACCCCAACCACGTATGCCGCCATTTGTTGAAACTTAGCCACAACACGCAGCTCAGGGGTAACTGCTTAAAATTGAAGGAACAATATAGCCGTCTAGAGTGTCGACGGAATTACTTTTCCCTTCGGGTTTGCCAACCCTGGAACGTACTCCCAGACTCAGTTGTATCCTCTGCTACCTTGGACCTTTTCAAAAACCGATTAGGTGTTGCTCTTAGCTCCCAGCGTTATGTTACGTAAACTCCTCTATTGTGGATTACGCCAAGCATGCTTTGCAACAGGATTTATGTATCAAGTGGACCCAAGTGTGCGACCATTTGTTACTATTCTCATGCCTTATATCAACGATCACTGCACCTTAATGTATTTCTGAACGTTTACGCTCGATATTTTTACTTGTACACTGATGTCATTCATCAAAGTATTCATCTCGGCAGACGTTCGGTAGGTGACGCACATATGTTTTGATTTCATCTTATTCACCCCAACCATCCTATGGGACGTGTCAAGCACTTGTTTTTATCTCGTCATAAATCATTGTTCATTGTTCATCTCGACGCCGCCACAAGTGTTGCCGGTTGACAAACGCCGACCAGGCTTCGTCGGTGCAGAGCGAAATTCCCATGGTGATAGCGCCACCAGTAGACATGTATCTGCCTTTGTACACAAAGTTATCTACGTGTTCATCCCGGGCACCTTCAAGAGGAAACACAGGAACGGGCAAGTGCTATTCCTGTAGCATCACTGCATTTCAACCAGGCGGGACACAATATGTGTTTAGATACTTCAATCACCAAACGGCATAGAATGATTTGCTGACTATCCGTTCTTACTCGCTTGTATGCGTTGATGATGTTTCTTGACGTGCTCTCCTTGGCATCGGCGGCTTCAGCACCTTTGTGGGTGGTTTTGCCATCGACGAACTCAAGCTCCTTAAGGATATCTTTATGTGCCCATGAGGTTGGTTTTAACCTCGCTGCCTTACGGACACCTTTTCTCGCCATTCCTTACTCATTTTGGACGCTTCGTGCTACACAAGGCGAATAAAGCTAGGTTGGGTTTGCTGGAGTCATAGCAATCTGTCCAGTCGCCTCACTCTTCGTTTCTTGCTAAGAACTTGCTGATTTGTTGCTTAGAATGCAATGTCTTTAACTTGCTTTTCTCCACGTTCAATGTAAATTAAACTTGCTAGATATGCAAAATATTGTCAACAAAAGGGCAATGTTCATTTGCTCCCACATTGATAAAATATTTCCTTACCCGGGGACCAGTAAAGGGTAAAGCCGAATTACCACCGTTGAGGGACACTTGCAATGAGGAGAAATAAACCCTACCGAACACAACCACTTCATGGTTCTAATGCTGTGATTATATGCCGATGGTTCATTAGCTGAATGTTGTTTAGTGCTACCTACATGATAACGTGTTCAACAGACTTGCATTTAGTTAAGTAACATTTGGTTCGACTTACCAGTGTGACAGCAAAGTTACTTGATATTCCAAGGAGAAAATAGCACCAATCCCTAAATGTTTAAGGGCCAAGAAGGTGATAGGTTAAGTGGCCTAAAAGTGGGTATGATAAATCCTGTAGCCAACTCGCTTTAACTAATTACTGACACAGCAGGTAAGTGGTGTGTCTGAACAGAAGGGCATACATTGGCTATGGTTGCAATATCTCTTTTGCTTAAGTGATCGCGCTTCATAAGGCAGAACTATTGTTAGGCACATAAGTGAGCGTTCGGGTTACGTTACGGCTGGAGTACGATAGAGCAAAGTACTGGAAAGGAAGTTTATAGTCAAGCAGCGTGAATGACGCAGGTAATGCGGGTTCACACAAGTTCCTCTGTTCCTGTGAAAGAACTTCACACACCTGTGCCGAATTGTTCGATCTTAACAAGATGTGCAGGTGAAACTCTGGATATGCAATTGGGTACGAAAGAAAGCAATTTGTCTTACTGTTGAAGGATGATAAACAAATTGCTGAAGGGTATAATAGTCATGGAATAAGCATGTAAGCCGTTGCAAGTTTAACAAAGCAATCCAATGTGTTGTGTGATAGTCATTACAGCTGTAAAGCGCATCCAAATGAACTATTGGACTGGTACGTAATGATGCAACGCTTAACTAGGATGTTGTACACAACGGCACCATGATATCCGAGAGTAGACGGACGAAACACGAGTTGTCCGCTTACAAGTGGAGGAGGGATTAGACATGCACTCGTAACTAACTAACGAAAATTGATTAGCCACCACATCATGACCATTGGAATCATTATGGCCGGTGGACTAGAGTGAAGGCTGTATCACATGCTTATCCAATTCGTGTCGAATCATTTACGACGCTGCATTCCGTACAGTTGAAAGCAGCACGCATAACGTACTCACATTTGTGCGCGTGTGTGTGTGTGTGGTTGGAACGCTAATGATCTAGAACCATCCAGAAAACAGAAAGTTATAATCGGTTGGAGTCTCCAGTACACCCAATTCAACTAGGAATACCGTACGCTTTTAACACAACACTTTCATTTTAGACCGTTTTCGTGATTGTTTGCACTCATCCGGTAGAGATGGCGAAACTGAGAGTCGAGCACAAAAACCAGAGTTGTCAGATGATACCACTGAATGGTGCGCTGTGTTTGTCGCAGCGGTTGTTGCTGGTCTGTTTGAAGCAACCGTTGTAGACGAGCAAATACGAAAGCGGTCTCGGACTGTGGTGTTTCGACTGGGTATCACCTAACCTTTGTCTGCTTCGGCTACGACCTCAGTGGCCAAACAGACTTTCAAGTCCGGTCCAGATCGAGACTGCGCGTCGAAGTTCACTAAACATTTTCCTCAGCTGAGCACACCACAATAGAGCTCCACCTTCGTATTGGTCAATCTAAGTCACTGAACTATCTTCTGATGTTTCGACGAACGCCATTATTGTGTACTGCATTGATTAGCGCCAACTTCAAGGGTTCACACACAACTCTGTTACTGTGTACAGGCAGCCACCGCAGAGTCTTAAATCTTTTATGCTGATTGATGTGTATACAGCGTATTGGATACAGATGAAGTTTGACGTTAAACTGCGCCGTCTAAATGTGCATTGACAGAAGTCGTCGTTGTGATAGAAAGTTCCTGCGGCAAGTGACGTTTGCGGGAATTATATCAGTAACAACCATATGCCTGCAAACTAAGTTTCATGCATAATGATTTTAAGGTTGCTAGACAATTCGGCTGGATAAATTTTTTGATAATACCCGCTCTGCCGATGAGTAAATTTTGACCAATCAAAGTGATTCAACCAAACATAGTTGTAAGACCAAAAACATGGGAATTCTCCACTTCGGATGCGGTCCCAGGGACAGGAATTGATGAAATCTGCCTCATGGTAGGATATCGTCCCAATTTAATTGGCCTACCGTAATCAAACCACACGGAAGTACTCCGCAAACCAAAAGTTTGTTGTTTTCAATTTTTGCAACTGGATTTCTGTTGCTCAGTTGGTTTCACACCGATCTCTTGAAGTCAGATGTGGGTCTTGCAAAGTTATGGTTTTTCTCCCATCATATACTATTAAAGTATTGAACAGATTGATTTTCGCTTGAGATGCATTGTTTTGAGCCCAGTACGAGTTCTGTAGGAATGTATGTTGCTTTTCAAGTTAACATCACATCTATCGTCCTGTTTTCCAAATGAATTGTACATGTTAGCATGTATTGGTTAGAGCCTCAACTTCCAAATATCTTTACGTTGTTAAGCATTTGTGAATACTAGAGCCGATTTTCATGTACTAACCTTCAGTGGAACGACCATCATGGACTGTATAACCCTGTGGCGGTTTCGAGTGTGATGAAAACGATGAATATCCATTTGGTGCAAATTTAAAAATTCCCCATTTACGATCATTCTGGATGGCTGCTTTTTGTAACCAAACTCTCAATCGTTATGTTTTTGTTTACAATCAACTGGTTTTAGAGTTACTTTACTTGTGCCGCTGACGTTGGCAGCGTTCGCGACGCTGCTGGAGGGTTTTATTTGGATTAACTGGAAGATAAACATTCATCGTCATCAAGCCACTGGGGAAACGCTAAACGATGACAATCTGGCCTCGTCACACAACGAATGTACTGACCAATCAGGGGAAAGATTACTGTTTGGTGCAGACGTAGTAGATCCATCCGATGCACATTGCTCCTATGAAGATCACCGTAAAGGTTAGTTTAGGCATCTAGTATTCGCATCTATTATTCGAACCTGAAAAGGAAGGATATTTGTATCTTTACTTTCTTTTGTTATGTTTTGCTCTACAACCCTTCGCTGCTGCAGTAAGGTGGCATTCAATGGAACAATGGACTTCTCATGGAGATAAAGGCAATCACTTTGCAGTTTTCCGTAGGTAAATGGTGAGATCAAACTTGGATGCGTCGAAACAAACTAAATCGCGTATCCGTGGAGTGACCGCGATTTTCAAGTGTGCACATTGTATGGTTATGTGGCCGCCTATCCCATTAACTTAGGTTAAATGATGTAATGCGGGTGGTCTAATGCATCATCTGGTCGGGTTTTCAATTCGGATAACGTAGAAGCAGATAGGATAAAATGCGGAAGCAAGTACAACGGCTGGGATGTACAAAATGAGAAATAGTTCCGGCGGCATTCCAACCGGCTATATTGTGTCGTCAACTTCAAATAATGGCCTTTCAGTGAGATGTTGTGGTTTATTTTCAATAAGAGTCGGTATGTGTGGTTAGAGTCCTTGAGGATCTGATACATAAATACGAGATCACCTCGCAGAGGACGATAATATTCACCAAAAATTACTAGAGTCTTTGATCTCAACTGGTAAGGGGGTGAAGCAATCCCTTGACATTTTTGTCACCCTCCGTTGCAGCTTCTCATGAACAGTGAGGTTATGTTGTTGCCAGAGGTGCCAGACCTGGATGTCGTTCTTAACGGGTGATCACACGTACGCGTTGAGCATTTGCGAAAAGATGACCGGATCAAACCGGTCAAACGCCCTCTGCAGTGGGCACCAGTGTTGGCTGGCTTTTCACACTGTCATTTCAGCCTGCTTTGAGCATCCTGAGATCACTTTCATGAGGAGCCCTCTACAGCATGTTCTCCCAGTTCATATTGATAGGTGCTCTGGTGGCGTACGCTCGTTATTTGCCACCTGGCAGGGTTCATCTCAAGCCTACTTTGGTCGACCATTCGTAAGCCCTATCTAGATCACCCTGAAGGGATATATGGTGGTCTGCTAGTTTGACTGCCTTCAAAATCTTGAGATCGTACGCCAAGAGTAGAAAGTTCAACGGCAAAACTTCTGTAATACATTTATGAACACGAGGAATAACCTTGGTCCTGGTACCGAGCCTTGAGGGACGTCATAATATATATCTATTTCGTCGGACACGGGGGTACGAACCCGCATATTCAAGCCCCGTTGAAGTAAGAATTAATGAGCCCAATATACGCTAGGGCCACCGATTTCCTAGATCCGCAGCTTGTGAAAAGAATCCGGTGATCAAGGTGATCAGGTGCCTTTGAGAAATTAGTGTAGGAGGCGTCGAGTCTTTCTCCAGCATCGACGGATTGCGTTCAATCAGCACGGGTTAACAAACAACACGTAATACATGAGCGGTTTTGGCTGAATCCACGCTCCTTTTGCACGACGATATAGCACTTTCCTAAAGATCCCATAAGCGCATCTGCAAGGACAGATTTCCTGAGATTAGCAAGTAAAGGGAGAAGAGTAATAGGACGGTCGTTTGCGGGCACTGCACGATTGCCTCCCTTGTAAACTGAAGGGAGTATTCCACGCTTCCACACTGTTGGAACCTGCATCTTGTCGAGAGAATGCTGAAAGGACTGATATAATGATTCAACCATGCTCGTGGCAGCTACCATCAATGACTTGGGACGTATGCTATCTGGACCAGGTGAACTATACTCGCGTAGTGACAGTAGTCCTTTCAGCACATCCGCAGCTGTGAAGGAGATGTGACGAAGTTCTGGTGGTGATGTGATATGTATGAGAATAACTCGAGATGGCTATGCATGCTGAAAAGTACAAACGAACTGATACCTAAGAGATTTAACTGCTTCTTGAGTAGTTCGCGCCTGCCACAGACGGTGTTTTAGAGAGGAATGCCGCGCTGTACTTTGCGAGGTTTGTTACATACTCGTAACGTAGCTTAGACCTGCATCGGAATTTCTCCGTCAAATCTTGTTGGTGTTTCGATTTATCTTCGCGGGCAATTTCGACACAGTCGTTAGGTAGGCATGCCAGTTTCTGGCATTTGGCTCGGATTTGTATGCTTTCCAAAGTGCAGCTCTCAGGGCCATTCGTTTCCGTGTCCTGCTCCTCAGGAAGGACTTTACTCTTTTTGTGCTAAAGAACTTAGTCTCTGATGCGTTTCTTACGAAAGTGTTAAACTGATTGATGAACTTTCCCCAAGCGACAGCAGGGCATTGTTCCGCTGGAAACGACCAAGCAAGTGATCTTACTGGGTTCGGAAAAACTGTTGTGGTGTGTTATTATGCGGACCTCTTCGATTTCCCTGCTGAAATGTTTGGTATAGCAGACGTAGCGTAAAAGCAGTGTCGCATGATCACTGCGTCTCAGAAAACTACTCAAGGTCACTGGGTCAACCCAAGATTCCTCATTTGTGAGGACGAGGTAAAAATGCTTGGCATGTTCCCCGTTCTGGACCTCGTAGGAGAAGTAACCTGGTTATAGAGTGGGAGTCCAGCGACTAATTCTTGTAGTTCAGCTTTAAACTGCTCGCCAGGTGAGGCCGGAACATTTAGTGCATACAAGTTGAAGTCTCCTACGAGGAGAACATGAGAGTTGGGTTGTCAGAAAGGTCTTCAGTGCATAAGATAGATGCTTTTCTATTTTCAATTTCCACATGAGTGATCATTACACGAGGGCAACTAAACCTGTATCCCGCGTCTTAGTTGCTGGTGGCACCAAAGTGCGTCCACTACTTGAAGCTCTTGGTCGTCAACAGCTTGGAAAGGTAGGTCATTGCGGTAGTACAAGATTGCGCAACCTCCTCTACTAGGTCGATATTTACGTATCACTTACACACCAGGTAGAGTGGTCTCAGTCTCCATGATTTCCTCATACGTCTATGTTGCAGTTATCATTACCAGGTCCATAAGCGTCGAAACTTGGCAAGATTGTGTTGTGTCGGACCCTCCGCGACTGCTGTCACTCATTAACAGTAGTGAGAACACCGACAATCAGGGACAAACATTCAAGGGTTCTTTTATCTATGGAAGGCACTTCGTTATATAGCATAAGGCACATTTCAGGCGACAGTAAATCGGCGAACCATGGTCATTTCTTTCGAACAAATGCAGGCTCTACTCCAGCGGCAGCAGATGCAATTAGAAAAATCCTAGCGACAACTAATCGAGTTGCGATGACAAAAACTGAACATTTAGGCAGAACCACCAGGACCGGCATCATGACCAGTCCTGGAGTCTATTGCGGCATCGATTTCAGTTAATTTTCAACAGATTGGTGTCACCATCGAATCGTGGTTCCAATAGTACGAAGATATTTTCAGTATGTAGTTGCCAAATAAGCTGATGTGTGGAAAGTCCGTTTGCTGCTGAGAAAACTCGGAGCGGTTGAAAATGAACGGTATGCAAATTTTGTTTTACTCAAGAATCGAAGAAATTTCAGTTTGGAGGAGACGGTGGAAACATTGACACAGATATGCGGTGAGCAAGTGTTCTTATTCAGTATCAGGTACAACTGTTTACAATTGGTCAAACGAGATTTACCTGATTTCCTCACACATGCTGGCGTCGGGAACCAAAAGCATGAACTTTTTAAACTTGGCACCATGACATCTGATCAATTCAAGAACCTTGTCTTTGTATACAGTCTTCCATCAAATGCGGACGTCGATGTTCAAGCGCGTATCCTTCAGAATTTGGAACAAGAACCGCAACTGACATTACAGTAGATTACAACTGAGTGCCAGAGGCTGCTAAACCTGAAACATGACACAAAAATGGTGGAAAATTCAGATTCCGGAAACGATCCCTACATCTGTCACACAGCCGTTCGCAACAAAAAGCGGAATCAAAAGGTGCCGACTCGGAGGCCTCCCACTGCGTATTGGAACTGTGACGAGTGTCATTTTGCGAAAGAATGTAAGTAGAAGAATTATTGATGTCACAAATGTAAAGGCACTGGTTATAAAGAAACACGCTATCGAGGACCGCACCACTTTAGGCGCATATTTACTACTAGGGTTCGAACAAATTCTTTCTGGAAGATCAGATTCCAGGGCGCAAAGACGAACGTGATTCTTGCCGCATTTCGCACAGGATTCGCAAGAAACTGAAAACACCTGACTGTGAAACTCAACCATGTTCCGGTATCGTTACAGTTAGCTACAGTGTCCGACATCACCATCATTTCCCGATTGGCATGGGCCAAACTGGATAAACCTCCAGTCAAACATGCATGTCTCATGGCTCAAAGAGCATCAGCCGAACCATTGTCGCTAGCCGAAGAAATTGACTGTGATCTCAAGTACAAAAATTTGCAACTCCATGGCATCATCAACCTGGCTTCTCGTACCAAGGTTAATCTACTCGGATTGGGTTGAATTGCGAAGCTAAATCTGCTCGACGAGCCACTGGATCGTGTGTGCTCCAAAACAAAAGTCATGGTCAGCCATAATGCCATACGGACTCATCCCAGTGGAAGCCTATTCGAACAGCTTTACGCGAAATACGCTTACGTCTTCCGATCCGAGCTTGGACCCTGCACAAAAATGCAGGTGAAACTCACTCTCCTTCCCGAGGCAAAAGCAGTAGTTCCATCCAGACGTCCAATCCCGTACGCTTCACAATTACTCGTGAAATAGGGGCTTGAACGGCCATATCGGGCTGGTGTGATCGAGCAAACCAGTTTCTCACCAAGGGCTGCTCCCATTGTTGTGATCAAGAAACCCAACGGTACTATTCGCTCGTGTGCCGACTTCTGAACTGGGTAATATGCCGCACTGGAACCTCATCAATACCAAATTCTACTCGCTGTGGGTGTGTTTACGTAGCTGAATGGAGGAGAATACTTTTCTACCCTTGATTTCGCGGATGCTTATTTACACTTTGAGCTTGAGCCAGGAAGCAGGAATCTTCTTATGATAAACACGCATCGCGGGCTCTATCAATACAATTGACTGCC